AGGAATCTGGAAGGGACCGGTCAGACCTTATCCGGAAGGGTCTCAAGAACAGTGGGCTTACTCCCTCCGAAGCCATAGCAGGAGTTTTGGCTCCTTCCTCTAGCAGTAGTAATAACAACGGGTCGGTTCATCGGTGTCGTAGAAGGCTCCGTTATTATCATGGTTCGATCCGTAGTTCGTATAGGTTCTAGTAGTAGCTCGAGCAGACCTAAGAGAGCTATTGAATTAGAGAAGGGCGAGAGCGAGGGAACTCCTGTGAAGAAGGCGGCTAAGAAGGACAGTATGGCCAGATTTGACGCCATGCTGGGCCTTGACGGTAGTAGTGATGAGAGCTCGGATGATGATGATGATGAGGAGGATAAGACCGACTAGGACTTCGATCGAGAAGATTGTACTGTATCATAACGTTGAAACAGGTCGTCTACCACGACCCGAGTATATTAGACATGTCCTCACGTTGGGTTATTAATCATTCCTAGGGGTTCGTATTATCGCCAGATGCATTCATCCCATCATTCGAGCGCTCAACAAGCGGGAACGACCCAATGAACATCTTCCATGACATCATTATGAGATATTCCTGCTGGGTAGTATGAGTGGGAGCTTCTCCGATCCGTCCTGATTCTCCGGGTAGCCTTCCAGTGGTGGGCTTTTTCGCCGTTCTGCGCCTCATCTCGCGCAAGTTTGACACATGAGCAGGTGAGGTTTAGAGTTATCAGTCCAGAATGACAATAAGAACATAACAACTAAGATTAACAATGACAATCTAACTTTGCTACTACAGTGATATATCACAAGCAATATGTCTGGGATGGTCTGAGTTCGACCGAGGCAAATGCGTACAGCCATAGCGCACCTGGCAATATACCATACAAGTTTGATGACAAATGAAGTGCTTCAATGTCAGTGGTGAGCTTGTATGTAGTATCTCAATCATCTACGTATTCCACGACTGTGCCGCGCGAGTAAACCATGGCGGACGATTCTGCTCGGATTACGGGGGCTGAGGGAGGTGGTAATAGGTGGATCGTTCCTGGTACAATGCCGATCTTGAGTTTAGCATAATTGAATTGTAACATACTGGCATTCTGATTGCCATTCTTGGTTGTTCATCTTCTATCTTGCCTGCTCATCTGTTATATCTGCGTAAGAAAAGGTGTAGTTGAGGTGAAGTTGAAGGAGGAAATGGTTGAAGATACGTGTTGAAAATACCCTACCCGGGGATCGAACCCGGAATCTCCACCTTAGGAGGGTGGCGCCTTATCCATTGGACCAGCAGGGCAGATGAAAATAGGTTAGTTGGCACGTG